AAAATGTTAATGAGGGTCCTGCTCAATCAAACTTGCAATCCAGAGGAGCTTGAGAGAAAGATCTGTGTGTATGAGGAATGAGGTAGCCAGGTATGAAACCGTATCTAGATCAATTAACTGAAGAGAAATGATGAAAGGTGGGTAGGTTAGAGTAAACTGGACTGTTGCATCACTAATTATATTAGTAAAGACTGAATAGGCATGCTTCATGAATTAGCATTTTCAGAGATTTGCTAAGTTTTTCTAAAGAGATGACATTTAAGGATTTTTAAAAAATAATCTAGACACAATGAGAAAGCCTTATGTTGGTAGTCAGGTGTTCATACTTTACAGCTATGTTTTGGCTACAAAGCCACATTTCATCTGTTTTTTGCTTTTCATGTTTTAAGGGTGACATCACTATTACATAAAACAAATATACATTGTTATAAGACCAAAGAGTTTACTCTCTAAACACCAAAGTGCAGTAAATAAAAAAATAAAAAATAAATAATAAATTTATCTAAAAAAATTCTGATTTGGAAATGCAGCTTGGCTGTTTTAACCAACATGTACCCAAAATCTCAGTTTTCAATTAACTGCACTTTTCTTTTTTGGAGAATAAACCCCATAGAGTATAGGGCCAATACATTGCTATTATCTCAGATAATACAGAAACATTTAGTAGTGGAATCAGGGGAGTAATGGTAGCAGTAAAGGTAGCTGTTATGGAAAAGTTCATATTTATAAGTAGATGATTAGTATCCCAATAAGGATGTATGATGAGTCGGGCTTGTTATGATTACATGTTGGTATATAAAGTATTTTCTAACCCCTCTAACTGTGTAATCAAGTATTAATGGCAGGTTGATCTATTATGTTTTTGTTAAATTGCATGCACAGTCACTAAAGGAAAGAACATCCTTCTCAAATATTTCATACAGTATTACATCTAATACGACGCTTACTTTTCTGTTGCCTGGTGCATGGTTTGCCAATTAAGAAATTATTTCTATCAAATATCTATATTTTTAAAATAAAATCAGACAATAATAAGAATAATGAAAAAAAAAAGAATCTGAAAGGTGTCACATAATCTGATGAACACATAACTTTTGACATAACTAATTATCACAAAACAGAAAGATGCACAGTATTGCTCGAAAAGCCATCACCCCAAATAAGCAGAGTAACACAAAGATCACCCAAGTAAGTCCAGATGCTAATACTTCACGGCTCCCACTCTGCCACAAACGTGAACTGATGAGTTGAAAAGAGGGCCTCAGCAAGCCGTCTTTATTAAATCTCAGACCACATAGAATCCATTATATATGACATGTTTAATCCACGCTTACAGACATGATTCAGTAGGTAAACATGGACGGAAAGCATCAGATATGATGGATTATATTTGGTTTAAAATTTAATAAAGCCGGCTTGTTGAGGTCCTTTTTTCACCCATTGTTTGAAAGTTTTGTCTTAATTTTCTATGCTAACTAATTATCATACTGATAGTCAGACTAAAGCTGATTTCAAATTAAAATATATTTTTATATATATTTTAAATCCATTTTTTTCAATGACCAAAAGCCAAACTTTTCATTGAAAGTTAATTGAATTAGTTTTTTTTCTAGATGTTCCTTCCAGCTGGTGTTTTCATTGGGCTCGAAGATGATGATTGCTGTGGATGTTGCGGTCATGAGAGATGTGGGAAAAGCTGTGCAGTAAGTTGTCATATTTTGTTCTAATTTTTGTTCTTTTGATTGAAAGGAATTGAAGAAACGAAAGGGCTATTCTTTGTTTCCTTCTAGATGCTGTCATCTATCTTGGCTGCAATAATTGGGATTGCTACATCAGGATATTGTTTGATCATTTCTGCTCTGGCCCTGGTAGAGGGGCCATATTGTTTGACAAGGGATGGTGTATGGAAATACCCATTTAATGAAACAAAGTAAGTACCATAGACCTAACAATGTTGAAAACAGATTTGGTAATTATGGTAGCTGATTATTTTTTAATCATATGAATTGGTACATTGATAAATCCAATACCAGTACATGACCATGCAACTCATCATCACAGAACCCTCATTGTGAAATGAACTTAATCACTAGTGGTATTCTGTGCTGCCAATGTCACATCTTCCAAATGCCATATGGGTTCCCAATTCATTCAATTTGGTGAAGCAAGACTCAAATAATGACATTGCCCATCATTTCCAGCAGCTTTCGAAGCCTTCTAGTTTAATTTCTTGTGACAATTCCAACACGATCACCATGTCTGTGAACAAGGTTTTAAATTTACCTGGTGCAATAATAGCTGCAAAGCCTCCTCACTCTTTAGAGATTTTAGAAACTTCTTATTGTGGAACCTTGGGTTTCCTCCTTTGCCTGTAGGGGCTATGTACTCCCTCCTTGTCCATGCAGTACCTTGGATTTCCTGCTTCTTCTGAATACACCCCCTTGCCCACTGAAGGCAATATACCCCTTGCCCCTCATATGCGTGTTCTCACTGCTACAGAGTGTTGTGCCCTTAATGTTGCCCTCCTATAAATTGAGTCTGTATCATTAGAAACCACTCTTCCCGAGGAGACCTGTATTTTTAATACTGTATAGTAACATAGTACACAGAGTGTAACTCCAAAGGATCTGAAACATGGACCTGCTCCTACAAGAGTGTGGGAAACAGCCTGATGAACAGTTGATGCAATTTAATTGCCAGACACAACATGTAACTTATAATTATCAAATTAAAACTGTCAGCATGAGACTGACTGTGTTCTAAACTAGAAACAATTATTGCAAAGCATTATATATATTTATACACATTGCAATTCAGTTACTAAACAGTGCATTGTGGTAGTTTAAAAAAAAATGATTAAAAAAGAGAGACGAAAATTGAAAAAGAAAAACTGCAAAGTAAAAATAAATTTTATATGTTGGTTATTAACTCACCGATACTCACTGTTTAGTAAATAAATATACCGGATCAGACCAAAATGTCTCCAGTAGTCTCACATTCCCATCTAATTAATGGTGTGCATCATATGTCTTATGCCTGAAGTTAAACCGACACTTGTATCTTTATAACTATTTAATCTCATTGAATAGGTTATAGGGCATATGTAGGCTATGAAGACAGCTCACACGGTCAACCTGTTGAGTGTTAAACCATTTTCGAGAAGTTAAATGTGGGTGCCTGGCCACCCCTAGCTCCACCCCTATTGGAGATATGTGGCCAAGGCAGAGATTACATACTTTCTTTATAGCTGTACTCATTCATACCAGCCATGGGCATTCTGGTAGGCTGAAAGCAGTCACCTGAAATTTTTAGCCAATCACAGCCCAAACAACATAGAGGGAATGGGGTGCTGAAACTCCTGATTAGCACTGAAGCATTAAAAACTGTTTCATGCTGAATAGAAGGACAGCACCAAGGGACTCCTGTCACTATAACCAGTTCGATGAGATTATACAGATACAGTGACAACAGTGTTCCTTTAAGATCACTAAACTGTATTGAAAGTTTTTATGCAAACAGAAGTTCCCATAAACAATATATTCCAATGTAGCAAATAATTTCTTGGTTCTGCCAGTTTTAAGTCTGAGTAACCTCTATTTCAGCTCTTTTGTAAGTTGTTGTACTGGCTCTTTTCCATTGTATAGTTATGCAGTAGATGTATTTTATTTTGAGCATATTCATAAATATAAATGGGAATATATATACAGTATGTTAATTGTAACATTGTGTGTGTGTATAGGCAGATAAAAAGATATTAAATAAAAGAAGTCAATTTGAAAAAATCCAGGATTTTATATATATATATATATATATATATATATATATATATATATATATATATATATATATATATAGGGTGATGATATTCTTTCCCATTATATATATATATAAAAAAAAATGGAACAGGATACTAGCACTCCATGGTTTTGAAAAAATATAATAAAAGAAGATACTGAAGTAAATTCTGGCGTGCTGGAATCCTGTTCCATTCTTTATATTTTTTATATATACTAACATAAAATACAGTATCCTTTCTATGCTACTGGGCAGCTAAGCTGACCAGGAATCCTGTTCCATTCTTTATATTTTTTATATATACTAACATAAAATAGAGTATCCTTTCTATGCTACTGGGCAGCTAAGCTGACCCCAGTAGTCTAACAAATAAAACAAAGGCTTGCAAAATACCTTTTTGTTCCCACACAGTTTCAGGAGTCTCTTTGACTCACAGTCTCTGTCTCCGCCCCAGCTCTGCACAGGAGAGGCTGATTTCCCTGTGCATAGGATTTGTGCAGCTCCCTAAGTGATGTACTAAACTAGAGCAACCTGATTTTTAACGCCCTCTAGTCAGGGAACACTCAAAGTGCCATTCTGGGGCTAATATAGCAGTGTTACCTCACACTGCCACAATATATATATATATAAGTAGTCTCCAGTGTGGAGTAGGAGTTTATTTTGGTTTAATGTTTTGCTGTGGCTAAATTGGGACTGGCTTGCTAAATAAAGCTTTCCTCATATTGGAAGAAAGAACTCTCTCTCTCTCTCTCTATATATATATATATCTATATATCTCTCTCTATATATAGATATACAGGATACCAGTACTACAGGGTTTTTTCAAATTAACTTGTTATTCAATATCTTCTTTTATCTATATACACACACACACACAAAATAAAGTACAAAATATATATACACACGCATTTAGTACTTAAGAGGTCCACCCAGCCTCCCTACCTTGCTCTGGCTAGTGGTTGCTGCTGGGATCTTAGTGGTCTTCCTGCACGCCCAGTAGTGATGCCGATGCTGGGATGACGTCATATCCCAGTGGCAGGCTCATTGCATGGCACATGAGGGACCTATCCAAGAGGAGCACAGTATTTAAAGGGCTCCCTGCTTCCCTCGCCACCCAGCACCCAGATGGCAACCCAGGCCGTGACTTGGACACCCCTGTACTACTGCAACTTTAAATATTGTTTTACAGTCTAGAGCAGGGGTCCTCAAACTGTGGCCCTCCAGATGTTGCTGAACTACAACTTCCATGATTCTTTGAGTTACATAGATAGCAAGAGAATCATGGGAGTTGTAGTTCAGCAACATCTGGAGGGCCACAGTTTGAGGACCCCTGGTCTAGAGGACACTTCTTTACAACTTCTGAAAACTGTTTCTATGAGTTGCTTACATTTTGTAGGGATACTTGATAAACAAAAGAAACAGTATCATTTGCTGAATTCTTTATAAATATCTCAGTGACTGTAAAAAATATTAAAAATATTGAGTAATAAAATGCATACACAGAAAAGTGTGCCACAGTCAGTTTTCCCATTAAAAGTACATCAATCATTTTGCCCATTAATATTAAAAAATACCACAGTATGTTTTCTTATTAATAAATACCACAGTATGTTTGCTAGGTGTGTTTGAAGTGACAGGAAATCACTTCCTCCCGGCACTTGGTGCGAACATCATAGGGGTCTGGTCGTGCCACCAAGGGGACACAGTGCCTGAATGGGCCCCTAATTAGACCAGCCTGCCTATCGGGTTTGAATTAAATGTAGGGGCTGCTCGATTGGCCCTCAAAGCCAGGCCCCAGTGCAACCACCAGGGCAGAAAACGCAGCACAGTGTCGCAGCACACCAGTTGTGAAGCACTGCCCAGTGTTACTGTTATTTATGATCACACATACTTTCACAACTATCATCTTATTTTTATGCAGTATACACTTAAACAACAATTCCTATCTTTGCAGTTATTCCTATTTGGCTGACCACAGTACCTGGTCTCAGTGCATCGAACCAAAGAATGTAGTAGTATGGAATGTTAGTCTATTCTCCATCCTCCTGGGTTTGTCTGCAATCCAGATTATTCTTTGTATAATCCAGATCATCAATGGGTTCATTGGAGGAATATGTGGCTGCTGCTGTGGACAGAAACAACAGGTTAGTGGAGTTGAAATTAGATTTTAAACCTTAAATACTACTACAAATAATATCAACAAATAAAAATATAACCATACTGTTGAATGATGTGTGTGGCATTTAGGTAATACTTTTATAACAAACTTGATACTAATTTACATCACTCTGCTTGGAAATGACATTGAATGACACTCGAAGAACAAATGCAATGACCTGCCTTGTCTGCACCTCACATTTCAAAATAAATAGTATGTTTTATAACGAGTGCAGTTCATTATTAATATGTCACCAGCTTTCTTAGTAATGCAGAGAGAAACAAAAATAGATCAGGACTCATTTTAAGCCATTCTATAGGTTATGATTAAAAGGGTTCAAAGCTTTTATAGTCAATTATAGTTGTTCAATTAATTTATTTGTACTGCAAGCCCACTGTAGTTTAACCCTATGGGTTTCAGTGTTGTTTAACCCTATGGGTTTACTTTAGAGAGAATAGTGGCCCAGCTACATTGATTTAAATCCGGACTCTGCATGGAGAGTTTTAATAAGTAAAAGGTTTGTTAATGTAGTATGTGGTTTTTCTTTGTTTACCGCTTTGTTAATTCCTCATTAACAGTATTAGGTTTGCAATTTCAAGTCTTTAATAAGCATCTTATTATAATCAAAAATATAAAACCAGGTTTATTGTCAAAATGTACAGACTTTCAGCTGTTTGCAATGAACAAATCAAACTTAAGCAATAGACATAGCTCAACGAAACAAATGATTCAAGTGGTTTCCCCAAATTCAACTGAAAATACAATTAATGACTTCTCCAGTCTCAAAATGATCCAATTCCTTCATGGCAAGCATACTTAGTACAAGGTAGAGAATCCTTTTGCTGTTATGATCTGTAAATAAGATGCATAGCCAGACACCAGCTTCTGGCAGCGTTCCTGTGGAAT